AAAGTGTCATCGATTCATGTGCATTAGGAATCTAATGCCTTTAGTCATGAGTTTCATTGATTCATGGCATTAGAAATCTAATGCCTCTAGTCAACAGTGTCATTGATTCATGCGCATCAAAAATCTAATGCCTCTAGTCATGAGTGTCATTGATTCATGTGCATCAGGAATCTAATGCCTTTAGTCATGATTGTCATTGATTAACAGTGTCATTGATTTATGCGCGTTAGGAATCCAATGCCTTTAGTCATGAATGTCATTGATTAAGAGTGTTATTGGTTTACGCACGTTACGAATCCAATGCCTTTAGTCATAAGTGTCATTAATTAAGAGTGTCATTGATTTACACACGTCAGGAATCCAATGCCTTTAGTCATGACTGTCATTGATTAAGAGTGTCGTTGATTTACATGCGTCAGAAATCCAATGCCTTCAGTCATGAATGTCATTGATTAAGAGTGTCACTAATTTACGTGTGTCAGGAATCCAATGCCTTTAGTCATGAGTGTCATTAATTCGTGAAAATGATTGAACCATATCTCCACCTTCTATTTAAATGAGAGCATTCTTGGTTTCAAATCCAGAGTGCAATTGAGCCAAGTATTCTTGTTTTCAAATCCAAATATACAAACCCTTTGTCTACTACAATGTCTTTCTCTTCTTTTCGTGTGTTGGTGTTCTATAATGGTGAGGTTATTCAAACAAACGAAAGGGACACTTTTGTACCCTTTAACCCAATGTTTTTCTCAATTAATCCACGTATCACACTTGATGCGTTGAAAAACCAAATCCAAAGAAGAATCAAGTTACCACAACGTTATTTAGTTGATCAACTTTACTTCCGATATCCACAAGTGGTAGGCAGAGGAATGCTTCATTACCAAGTTGTCAAACTTATCTACGATGAAGATGTTCATGACATGATTCAACTGATTCAGAGCTATAAAGTTCTTACTTATGCTGAAATGTATGTGAATCTCACACAAATAAATGATAGTCCTCCACCTTCCTTTCAAAACCAACCTTCATTAGATTATTCCAACAATCAATAGAACACTATTTTCAGCTACACACAAGTTCTTTCACCCACCTGCTTTCTACCCTTTTTCAAAGCAACTATGACTCACCATACCTAAACGAGCAATTACCACATGGATCCTTTACCAACCTCCTTACATTTGGAGTCATAGAAGAAAAACAAGGCATTGGCGACCTATTTGAGTCTGGATTTCTAGAAGAAGAAGTTTGTGGTAGCCTACTTGAGATTAGATTTCCAAAAGAAGAAGTCAATCCTTTTAGTGAGGACGAAGATGATGCAATACTCCAATAAGAGGATGGACAAGATGAAGAAGATCTTGTTCAACAACAACCTTAGTACGTAGGCACTTTGATGGAACAAGCATGAAGAAGTGGAAGATTATTCTTCTCCTTGCTTCCTCCAAGTCCACACAATCTTCTTTGAGGCTCCAATGGACTCTAATAACTTCAAATGACAAGAAGAATGAGGCTGGAATAGTGGTGAATCCATCTCCTTCTTGAAGGAGATTGAAGCTCCAAAGCACAAAGGAAGGATTCCTTTGTGAAGGTGCTTAAGGAGGGAAATATCCCTTTGGCTCTAAGTGACTCTTTGAGAGAATTTGCTCAATGGAAATTCTTATTCATCAAAAAGTGGTCAGCTACATGTCCAAAAGGTATTTATAGGGTATAGAAGCTTGTGAGAGAACCTAAGCCTAACTAAGGTTTAAAGGAAACCATGGTATGGTTACCTTAAACCTTAGCCGCTCAAATTTGAATTTGAAATTCAAATTTGGGTGACTTGGCTGGTTACACAAACTTGCATGCCCTCATATGAACCGTGTGCTCATTGAAATGTAATTTAGACAACATTTGATTTGGATTTGAGGCATGTAGATGGCACCTAGTTGTGACCTATCTTACATGCTTTAAATGCAAATGAAATGTAACCTTAAATTACATTTTAATCAACATTAGGTTCATTCTACCTTAAAATTAACCTAACTATTTGACCTAAAATACAAGGTCAAAAATAAACTATACAATAATTTCTAAAATAAAAAGACAAAGAAAATAAGATCAATATTGGCTATATAAACCCTATGGTCAAAAAACCCAAAAGGCACACTGAATATAAAGAAATAGACCTATTCTATGTACATGTTTTACTAGGCCTCAAGATATGGTGGCCCATAAGAAGAGTAGCTTAGGCCTAGAAAGCCCACTATCCTCCAAGCTAGCTAGTCCCTCATGTATACTCCTGGCCATAGCTCTAGTAATTGGGCCTTTGGCCCATGGTCTTCCATCACACATCTTCAACCACATTCAATTTTCTAGCACACATGCACAATGTTGATCTACAAACAGATTTCACTAACCTTGAGTATAAACATGCACTTAACCATGTTGACGTTGAATACACTCTTGACACCCTCTTTCGGGGTGACTTTCAACACAAAGGAGGAAGTCAAACATGTTTTAAATGAGTACCATGTCAAAAAAGGCTTGTATTACAGGATCAAGAAATTGTTTCCAACATTAATTGTTGCACGATGTGTTAACAATGAATGTGGTTGGAGGTGCAAAGTGGCTTTCATAAACAGAAGCCAAGAATTGGAGGTTCATAGGCTAACAGATGAACATTCTTGTTCATCCCCAGTGATCTCACAAGATCATGTCAACCTTAGCTATGTATATATAAGCAAAAGTATTCTTCCATTGGTGGAGACTGATCCATCAATTTCAATTCCAACAATAATAGCACACATCAAAAGTGTGGAAGGTTACACAATGTTGTACCGGAAAGGATGGATGGCAAAGCAAAAGGCAATTGAAGACTTACATGGCAATTGGGAACAATCATGCCATGATTTACCCAAGTTGTTAAATGTTATGAAAATATTTCTTAATAGATTTATTGTTCAGAAGAAGACAAGACCACTATACAACCAACAAGGTGAAATTGTTCAAGTTGATGGCACATTCTTGTATGGAAAATACAAAGGAACTCTCCTTGTGGTCATGGCATAAGATGGCAACAACAAAATATTTCCAATTGCCTTTGCCATTGTAGAGGGTGAAACAGTAGATGCATGATATTTCTTTCTACATTACCTAAAAAGACATATTTACCCTTAAGATGGCCTTTGCTTAATCTTTGACAGGCACGAGTCTATAAAAAATGCCTACTCTAGACAAGGCAGTGGTTGGACATCGAAGAACTTAATGCACGTGTTTTGCATTCACCACATTGCCCAAAACCTCATGAGGCATTTCAAGAATGCAGAAAAAAAATAATCATCAACATGGGTATGTAGTTCTTTTTTTTTATATTTCTTTTTTTTATCAATTAAATATTTATTCGTATTTGTTTTACTATATTTCAACAATAATAAATTGATAATTTATTGCTCTTCAAAATTCACAGCTTATGGAATGATTGAGCCTATATTCAATTACTACTTTAAAATATTGAGAAGCGAACCAGAAACTGAAAGTGTAATTGATTGGATCAACACTATTCCTAGAGAACAATGAACTCTTGCATAGGACGGTGGCCGATGATAGGGACACATGACTACCAACTTGGTAGAGACAATAAATTTCATTCTTAGGAAAACAATAAATTTGCTAATATCTGCAATATTTATCATGTCGACTTATAAGAGATAAGAGATGTAATTTATTATTCATCCAAAGAGGAGAGGAAGTCGATGCTAAACTCAGAGCTAGTCAAGTATATACAAAAATAATAAATAGGGCCATGAAAGATGCATAATCCAAGGCATATAGTCATCATGTCCTCGAGTTTGATCGTTGCAGTACATATTTTCTAGTGCAAGAGACCATTAACCTAAGGGAAGGATGACCAACTGGATCTTTGACAGTTAGACTAAATGAGCAATGGTGTGATTGTGGCAAATTTTAGAAGTTACACATGTCATGCTCACATGTTCTTACTGCATGTAAGCATGTTCACCACCATTACACATCTTACATACATCCGATATACACATTAGAATATGTTTCTAATGTGTATAATGGATTATTTGGTGAACTACCCAACGAATCTTATTGGTCGGAGTGTGACGAATCGCAAATCATACCAAATTTGCAAAAAATAAAAATAAAAAAGGTCATCCGAAGTCATCTCGAATACGCACTGAAATGTATATAGTTGAACTAAGACAACCAAAAGGATGTTCTCTGTGCATGAATGTAGGACATTCTAAGAAAAAATATCCTTATCGTCAAGGGAATTACAGTCAACAAGTTTAAATGAACGATTTTTCACAATTTATATCTCAATTTTGGTTATTTTGTTGTGTCTTTCACAAATATCATGTTGTGTAATTTTAATTTGTCTTTTCATACCAACATTTTTTTATTATTTTTAATTCCAATTTTAATATTATATAATAAAAAATATTACAATTTTTTAATAACAAATCTAATTATCTATAATTATTAATGCAAAATAAATGTATTAAATAAATTATACATATTTACAAATATAAAAAATTGATTATTAAATTACATTATTCAATTTTCTATATTTTTAAAATTTTATTTAATATAATTTTAAAATTTTAAATATAATTATACTATTATATATATTAAAAATATTAAATTTAAATAATAAAAATAATATTTAAATTCTGAATTTTTAAATTAAATAAAAATCAATTTTTAAATTTTAAAAAAATAAAAATAAAAAATAATATTTCAGTTGTGAAATCAACCGATTTGTCACTGAACTCTTAAAAAAAAAATAGAGTAAAAGTTGAGAAATTGGTTTTTCCCTAATCGATTTCTCAATGGACGCAGGGAAAATGGGTTATTTCTATAAATAATAGTGGGCCCAAATTATTTAAAAAATAAAAAGAATATATATTAAAAAAAAAAAAGTCTAATCTTTGTGGGTGTATCAATTGGCAAGAGTATAGAATTAAAGATGAGAGAAAGATAAAGACAAAGGCGTGCCACATATCCGTTTCCCATATTTACAAATTAGAAGAAACAATAAAATAAAGGTCTTATAAAGAGTAAACGCAACGACGCTGCTACTGCTAGGGTTTCGTTTTTCTCCTCTCTCCACCGCTTCCTTTCAGATCTCTCTCTTTCTCTTCTTCTCTTCCCAAGGTACAGGCCTTCGTTTTTCTCTTTTCTCTTCTCTTCTTTCTCCTCTTCAAACCCTAAAACGTTTTCCCCCTTTTCAAATTCCCCTTCCAACCCTAATACTTTTCCCCCATTTTCGCCTTTCCTCTGCAATTTCACCGCTTGAAATTGATTTAACACAATTTGTCGCCATTTTTCAGGTTCTTTCGAAAAGATGTCTCGCGTGTATGTTGGTAACTTGGATTCGCGAGTCACCGAGAGGGATCTCGAGGACGAATTCCGTGTTTTCGGGGTTATACGAAGGTAACAGAAGACGATTTAATTTATTATTTTCTCAATTTTGTGTTTGACACTTGAATTTCTCAGCTTTCGTTACGGTGTAATTTTAATTTTGTTTTGGTATTTAGGGTTGTTTCGGAAGAAAAATTTGACTTTTGTGTTGCGTGTGCAGTGTTTGGGTTGCGCGGAGACCACCAGGTTATGCTTTTATTGACTTTGATGACCGGAGAGACGCGCAGGATGCAATTCGTGAATTGGATGGTATGTTTTGAAGGGATATTACAGTCGGAATGTAATAGAATCAAAATTGAAATTAAGATGTGCATATATACATTTATTTACCTCATTCTTCTTATCTGCTAATGTATTATTGTTTTTCCCCCCTGTTTTTTCCGGTTGATATGTTGAAGGGTTTTCCTCAACTAGCTAGTTAACTCTTCTTTTTGGCCTACTATGGGGCAAGCAGATGCTGCTCTCTCTTTCTTCTACTTCTGCCTTGGCATGCAGTAATGGTTTTTTCGTTGTGTCTTCGTCAAAGTCTGCTGATTTGTACAGTTTGACTACTACTACTTCTACTACTGCATGTAAAGAGATTTAAGAATGTGAACACAGAGGATTTGCACTGCTATCGCCAGCTACACTTCTGTTGCATAATGGGTTTGTTTTATGAGATGTGTGCTTCTACACTTAACCTATGGGGACCATGTGAGTGCTGCCTGTGTGCTGTATATGATCCCTGTGGGCAATTTATGTGCTCCCATAAGTTGTTATCGACCAATGAACTTCTGAAAATATTATGGTAACACAATTATTGTCTTTACTGAATGAAGAACTTTTCCTCGTTATGCCTTATGATAATACTGTATTCTCGTGGATTATGATGTGTTTTAGTTTTCTTGTGGTAATTGTCTTCCTTCCACTTGAAATTGAAACCATCAAAAGGATTTATTGAAAATGTGGTTGTTGATACAGCTCAGTAATGTGGTTTGACCCAGATAGCAAACCCGGCCTAGTGTATCAAGGTTTGGTTGTTGTTGTAGAATTATTTTGTTTGCACTTATTTCAAGTGCATATTATCTGTATTTTTGTTTAAACAATTGATGAACATATCTAATTGTAAATTTGTTATTACAAATTAATTTATGCTTCTGTAAAACTTTTCATGTTAACTCTTAATCTTTACTGAGATGATCAGCCTAAAGGTTAATGTGTTTGCAGGGCTGTGGTTCAGCGCTGCCAATATTGCCAATATTTTTCTGTTTAATACCTGTCTGTGTTTGGCAATGTGGTGCATTTTTGGTGGAAGTTGTTTCATATTTTTTTAAGCTTTAAAGTATCAACCATATTAACTGTTTTCATTTTATCTAATAAATGTAGTTACATAGGCGGATTACAAGTATTTTTTTTATCACTTTTTTATTTATTGGGCCTTTTCATTTCTATTCTATGGAGCAGGCAAGAATGGTTGGAGGGTTGAGCTTTCCCACAATTCTAGAGGTGGAGGTGGTGGCCGAGGTCGCTCTGGCGGTTCTGATTTGAAATGTTATGAGTGTGGTGAACCTGGTCATTTTGCTCGTGAATGTCGCTTGCGTGGTGGTTCTGGAAGACGCCGTAGCCGTAGTCCACCCCGATTTCGTAGGAGCCCAAGTTATGGGCGAAGGTGAGATCGCTTTCTTATATTTTCCTTTTATCCCATGCGCAGCTGTATGGGTGCTTGTAGTTTCCTGGGGAATATATTTATATTGTATTTTTCTTTAGTGATCATGTTGTGAAAGTTGTTTGGTGATCCGCATGCTTTCGAAACCATGTTATGTGGCTATAATTTGTTTTGAAATTTAACTTTTCTTAAAATGTTATTTGTTACAATGTTATTTTTAGAAATTTTAGTTATTCTTTATGACAAAATATACCCGTATCCTTTCTTAGTTAAAGGGTTGGGTGTGTTTGTATGTTGTGATAATAATTTGGCCTTATACATCTTTGTTTATTTCTCACCTTTCATTGTTATGGCTAGGAGTTATAGTCCTCGTGGGCGATCCCCTAGGCGCCGCAGTTTGTCACCTCGTGGACGTAGCTACAGCAGGTCACCTCCTTATCGTGGGCGAGAGGAGGTTCCATATGCTAATGGGTAGGTTTCTTCTGTCTGGAAGTATGTCTGCCTCCTTAAATTGTATTATTTGGTCAAGAATTTTTTTTTTATGAAAGTTACTTTATCACATTGTGGTTGACCTGTTTTTTCAATATGCATTTTGTTCTATTTGAAGATGTAAAATGTTTAACTATGTTAATTTGTATTTTTGAAAAGATTATTTTTCTCAAAAGTTGAGTCTAGTTAGTGATGAAGGAAATATTGTTTTTAACTTGTAACTTATAAGTGGCAAAAGCATATCATCTTGCTTTGGATCCCATCCCCACCTTTCTAAGTATCTGATCAACATACTCTCCCCCTTGGTCTTTCTTGACACTACTTTTTGTGGCACATTTAAATATCTTTGTTTGACCAAGGAAGAATGACAATAAATATGATGACTGGAGTATGTAGGATCTGTATTCTTTTATTTTGTCTTTTTAAAAGGTAGCCTACAATGCCATGTGTTCTTTTTGCTTGAGTTGATAAATTATTAATTGTGCTATCAATATTTGGCGTTGTGCGTTTGTACTGACATGTGATGCTTCTTAATAATATGCAGAAATGGCATTAGGGAACGACGCAGAAGCAGAAGTTGATTTGGAGAGTTGGTAATTGTGATTGTTAAGAGAATAGTGAGATTTTGTTAATGTAGTGGTGCTTAGACTGAAGTATGAGTATGTTTTGTTGGGCAAGGCCCTAAGTTTTTACTCTTGGATTGGATTAGTTTCTTTGTCTCAGATTGTGTTGAATTTACTAGCAGAATATTTGTAGTTTCATTGCAGGTAATGAATTCTTTAAGGTCTTTGCTACTAGTTTGTTAAAGACTTAAAAGTGTTCCAGATCTTTATACACTACAGTTTATGATTTTCTTCACTGTTGAGATTTCTCCTGGTACTGCTTCATTGGTTTTGTGCTTCTTCAAGCACTGGGATGTAGTCCCTGGCTACCCTTCTCTGGATTTTCAAAATGGTTGAGGGTTGGGCTGGCTAAATATGCTCTTCAATTTCATCAACTTTCCTGTGATGTGCGAGCCACAAATTCTATTGGCGTTTATTTTTTTTTATTAACTTGTATGGGGTTGACGACCTGTATCAGATACTTCTAGCAGGTACTTATATCTGTTTTCTACAGGTATTTGACTTGAGGTTTTCCATGACATGTGATTTTTAAATATAGGTCATAAGGAAAGGGAAAATTTTGTTAATAGATAAGTGAAAATTTGATTTTTGAATTATATGTAATTCCTTTGTGATTACTTTTAAAGCACTGAACATGATTGTCTCCCCTTACAGGCAATAACAGTATTACTTAAAAATAAAAGAACTGCTTACTGTAAATCAGGATTTGTAGATTTTGAACTTGCAGCTAATGTTCCAAAAATTGTAGCCATCTTGTTTAGCATCTAGAATGGTAACCATCAAGTGTTAAATCATTTTATAAATGCAATTTTAACACCAATTTTATAAATATGTAATTATCTGATCTTTGTTGATATGTTATTAACTTAACCTGGTCGAGTTATGAGATGTTTGCCTGAAGAGCTACTTGATGGTATTTATTGAGTTCTTTTTACTGGATGATTTGGCCTCCCAAAACTTGATATTGAACTCGGTCTTGATATTGAACCCGGCTTCTATTGAAAGATATACATTGGATTCTCGTTATTTTTCGTGTTATGTTGGTTTTGAACCGAGTACTGTGTTTGAGACTTGAGAGTAGTCCAAACATTCGAGCAAATGTTGTTGTTTGGGTACATTGGATGCCATTTGAAGAATCGTCAATACTTGTAAGGTTTCTTTTTAAAGACATGGTTATAATGGTGGGTTTGTGAAGTGACAGATGAGAACCAGGCATTTGTTTGTACCCCTTTGTGGACTAAATTTCACCATGCAGTTTATTCCTTTCTTGTCATTTCAGCTTTTTTGGAAATTTATGCATTTTCTGGAAGTCGGGTTCTGTTATACTTTTTTGTGATTTATTAACAGTTGAATATAATTTTAATAGGAATTTACTACATGGTAGTATGGATGTAGATGTAGTTGCATTAATTAACAAAATTTATAAAAACCGCATTTACAAGAGCAATTAAAATATTCAAATTTATCTACAAAATTAAAAAAATTCTAATTTTGATGTCAATTATATATATATATATATATATATATAT